CTCTGGTATCCAGCACTGAGGGTCTTCTGGCTGGCTTTGTCCCCAGGGCTGGGCTGGGTTTTCTTGGCCTCAGCACCCTTTTTACCTGCAGAGGGGACAGATGGCTCAGCAGGGCTGTGAGGAGTGAGCAGGCACCTTCCACCCCAATGGGCACAGCCTTGCCCCTGGAAGGGACATGGCACTTGTCCTCCAGCCTGCTGGGCACTGGCAGCACTGCTTCCCAGAAGCAGCTCCTTCCCTGCTTATCAGCAGGACACAGCACACCAGCCCAGACTGGATTCTAAAGCCAGCCCTAGGTCCCTCCTAACAAACGTGCACGCAGGTGACACTGCTAGCACAGTAGTTCCCCTACGGATCAAGCCAAAGATTTGCCCTCCAGGACCATTGTTTCCATACCTTGCCCCCATCCTGCATTTTCACATGGAGACTGTAACATGCAGCCCTGCCCCAGCTGCATCACCCGCCTCTGCTGGAGCTAAATCCTCCGTGTGGGAAAACCCCAGCTGGGATCCACACCCTTCTTCCTTCCACCAGCTCTGAACCCAACCAGGTTCAAAGCAAAGCAATGCAAAACTTCTCCCCACACTAAGCAGGTCTGCCCTCACCCTGCAGAGCTCAGGGCACCAACTGCCAGCAAAGTTTCCTGAAAGTCTCCAGTCTGATCTGGAGAACAGCACAGCGTGCACAAGCTGCATGAGCCAACAGTGGGCATAGGAAAATCTCTGGAGAAAAGAGCTCATCTACAGCATGTTTCTCATTGGAAACTCCTCTAGGAGCTTATTCTTCCCTTCCTCTCACATTTGCAAAGCCACACTCATAGCTGTCTTGTGCTTAATGAGCCACTTCAGAGGGCTTTTTCCTTCTGAAGGTGGGCAATGGTTCTGCCTGCTGCCCATGAGCAGCAAGCTGGATTCAGCTTTGAGGAAATAGAAAAAATTCAGAGAAAGAGACAGGTGTGCTTCACCACCCCTAGAAAAAGGAATATGTGCCAAGAATGGCAGTAAAAGTGCCCCTGTGGGAGCCCTTCAAATCGAGCTTTCTGTTTCCAAACTAGCCAGAGATGCACAGCACCCATGTTCCCTAAGAGACCCGAGGGCTGCCAAACCATTTCTCTGAGCAAGCAGAAGTGGCCGGTCGTGGTGGTTTCCTAAGCATGCTCTGGGTGCAGCGTTTCTCCTTACCCGGCATCTGTTCCCTCCTGGCTCTTTGCTGACGGGCAGCCTCGACGCACAGCTCCCGGGCACGGCGCCCCGCCGAGCTGCGCTCGTCCGACATGGCTTCTGTCACCACCTCGGCCAGGGACAAGCAGGCGGCACTGTAATACTTGGACAGGGCGGCCGCCGCCCTTGTCTTTCCTGAGAGAGAGAGGAAGACTGCTTGGTGACACCTGCACGGGAGGCATTTTCAGGGACAGCCTCTGGAAACTCACAAACGGCTTTCAAGGACGGTGGGAAAGCAAGTGCCCTTCTAGGGGAGACCACGAGGGAGGCAGCTTGAGCACGGTTACGAGCACTGAACTCCAGCCCCAGGTGGGTCATCTCCACCTCGTATGCAGCTGAGGACTTTGTCTCAGGCACCACGCTCCACCAGGATGCATTTCTCCTGCTTCCCCCTCTCCTTGCAGCCCAGGGCTGTGGCTCCCGTACCTGTCCGCGGGGTCCCATAGACGATGATGGCAATCCCTCTGGGCATTTGGGCTTTGAGCTCTTCTCCAACGGGATTGGTGTCGAGGTAGCGCCTGACGGCCTGACGGATGGGCCTGTCACACTCGTCCACCATGTCCTTCAACAACCTGATGCTCTCTTGAAGTGCTGCTGTGCAGAACCAGCAGAAAAGTCAGCCTCCTGCCTACCTTGGATCCTGATCATCCTCCCTATCCCCTCCGATCCCAGGAAAGGAGACGGCCGAAAGCAACGGGAGCTTGTGCTTTTGTTGCTGGGAAGGAGCAAATAGAAAAGAGCCAGTGATATTAGACCTGGTTCTACTGGCTGAAGAGCTCATCTGATGCTACTCTTTGTGGCTAAGGGACGCAAGGGGATATCCTGACTACTTCCCCAGTCTGTGGCAGGCAGATAGGAGCTGGCTTTGGCTACACTCCAGGTTGGCAGAGGATGCCACAGCCCTTCACCCAGGAATTCCTCCACCAGGCAGGAGGTCAGATGGCTGCTAAAAGCATGGGCCTTGCATGGAGAACAAAGTGACAGAGAGCTCGGGCTGTGTGGGCTGGGCTCCCTGCTATGTCCCCAGTCAGAACAGCCAATGCCAAAGCCTTACCATTGTCCTCGCCTGATTCTTCCTTGCGCTTGAACATCTCTTGACCCAGAGCCTCCATCTTCTTCCATTTTTCATAATATTCCAGCACCTCTGGGGGCAGCTTCTCACCCACAGCGCGTGGAGGCATCACCACGGCCGTCCGGTCTCCAAACTCCTCCAGCGTCCGCAGGATCTGTGCGTGTGGGGAAGAGAAACCATCCACAAGATTCCTTTATCAACCTCCATCATACCAACAGACTCAGCCCATCTTCTCCCTCCTTCCTTCCTCCCAACAACACAGGCTATCCAAGCCCCTCCACAGACTGCCAGCAGGGATGGCTCACCTCAAAGTGCCACCAGGCTTTGCCCTGGGGATTGCCTCCATCTCCCTGGCACAAGCCTGGGAAGGCTGGAGTGCTGCACAGCTTGGGGAGCACACACATGGGGACCAGACCTTCCCTCTCACCTTCTCCTCCTCACGGTACTCCTCGTCAAACTCCAGGGAGTAAAATTCAGTGGGGAACTCGCAGGGGTTCTTCACCACCACTGTCCTCTCCAGCTCAGGGCCGCACGGAAGCACCGCTCCCAGCTTGATCTCCGTGGGGCTGAACTCCAGCCGTGGCTCCAGACCCTGTCCTGAGATGTGCAGCACGAGGAGCTGGCTGTTCCCATGAACGTTGATCTTCAGCTCGGTTTTGTAGGACTTCTGAAAAGAGAAAAGTGCCGAGAACTTGTCCATGAAGTCCTAGGTGACAGGACCCCAAATACAAGCCTTGCTCAAAGGTCAGGGGTGTTATCAGTCCCTCCAGGGGGAACGGAAACCCAGATCTTTACTTATGGTAGGGCCTACAGCATCTGTGTCCTTGGCTCTGAGTAACTGGGACAAATCCTGGTGTGCAGTGTAACTGGGTATTTGGGTATGAAGTGGATGTAAAATGGATTATCAGATGTTCTCCCCTAGTCATGGAGAGCAGACGAGAAGGGTCCTCAGTCCTGGTACTGCTGCATCAGGCAAACACCAGCTCCATGAGAGAGGCAGATGAGCTCTGGCTGGCTAGAAATAAAGGTCGTCTTCTCTGCTCAGTGTTTGGCTCTGGTCAAAGCCTGACACGAGATGGTTGGTTACATCCGTCGAGCAATGAAAAGATCCCTGGGACTGTTCTTGGGCACGGAAGCACTTGTGTCCCTCCTGTTACACCCTGTCAGTTTCCAAGTCCCAGTGGCCACATGCAAAGGGCTTTTGGGAATGCTCCATCCTTGAAGTCGACTCCCCAGCTGCACGGCAATGTGCAGGCAGGCTGGGCCAGAGCCCCAGGGACTGCTGGCAGCACACCACTACAGGTGACTGTCCTGCCGTGCCCAGGAAGGTGTCTGGTGGCTGTTTTGTCTGTTGGTGCCAGCAGCAGGATGAGCCAGCATTGGCCCTTCCAGGTTGATGCCCTGTGACTGTGCCAGCTGCTCTGCACCCAGCGTCGCAGGCTGCAAATACAACCAGGCAAGGGGGAGGACGAGGGAGTCAGGCAAATCTCCCCCATGGGCAGAGAGGCAGCCACAGCACAGTGCCCTGATGTTCCCTGGGAGGATTTCAAGGCGCCTCTCAGAAGGGTGTGCTGCAGGGGAAACTGAGGCCCAGTGAGTGCAGGGCTTCCAGAAAGCTGCTCGTGGAGGAAGAGCTCATCTGCCACTCCCTGTGTTGGGCTCTCCTTACCACCCTGCCCTGACAGAGCTCCTGGGGCGACAGCTGCCAATCTCACCTCTTCCAGGGGGGAAAACTGGATCTGCAGGTCACACCACTCTCTACCATAGAGGGTTCCCTCCCGGGCCTTCCACTGAAAGACACGGGAATCATCCTTCGCAGCCTGGAGCTCCTTCTGACGCACGGCCGGTGTCAAACGTTTGTCCACCTGAGCACAGAAACCAGTCGTGTGAGGTCTCCTCGGTCTGAGAGGACAGAGCCTCGGTTCCTGGAGTGCTCCGAGATCCTGTCCCGGTGCTGAGAGCACCCACAGCAAACCCGGCGTGGCCCCCACGGTCTAGAACTGGAGGGACAACCTGCAGGCAGGGCAAGCAGATGGGGAGCCACCGTCCTGTCCTCAGAGGAGGAGGAGGAATGGGTGAGGATGGCAGGGAAGCAAAGCATCACCAATGGAACAGGTCCAGGCAAAGCAGCCTTGATCTGGACCCTCAAAAGCTTCCTCAAACACGCTGTAGCCCAAGTGCTCAGGCAGCCACAGGCATAGAAAAGGCAGGAGGTGCAAAGAAAACCCAACATTCCGTGTTACATTTCCCTGTGCTTTACCTTCTTGGCAGGTTTGTTGACAGTGAGGAACCATTCACAGGGCGCGCTGAACCAGTTGTAAAGCCGGACTGTTTCACACCAGCACTGCCCAACCTGGACATCGGGGAACTGGAGTCTGTTCCTGGAGAGGCTGAGCAGCAGCTGAATCACAGTGGCACGGAGGCGGATGTGCAGTGTGGGGCCTTTCTCTACCTGGAGAAAGACAGAGAGTTCAGCTGAGAGTCCAGGCGACACGTGCTGCTGTGCCCAGCCTGCTGCCTGCCCCAAAAGCTGCGGTACCTTGATGGGCAGGAGCACATCCACCTTTCCCACGGGCAGGTTGGCACTTGCAAAGTTCACTTGAAACCGTTTGCTGGTGCCGTAGATCAGGAACTCCACGGGCTCCAGGTATATGCTGAAACCTTGAACAGATGAAAACAAAGCAGCTGAGATACACAAGCAACACAAAATGTGTCATAAGCATGTTAAGACCATACGAGAGCCCTGTTGGGAGCCCTGGGAAAAACCCCACGCTGTGCTGTTCCCAGGACAGAAACTTAGAGGAGACACCTGAGCAGCCCTCAGACACAGCGAGCCACTCTGTGATGGAAGTGCAGATTTGCCTCCAGGCCTCTTTTGGAAGCCTACTTTGATCCACCAGAGGATCAAACAGGCTGTTTCCTCAATAAAGGCCGAACACAAGAGCTGTGACAGCGTGAACTCCAGACAAAGCACTTTCCAACCACAACAGATCCCATCTGTCTGCAACACCCCCAGAGCGCCCAAAGAAACTTGATGCTGATGGGAACCGAAGGCAGAAGATGCTGGCAGGTGAGGAGGGTAATCAGCCCATCAGGCCCCTGCAGGGAAGCATCAGGGCAGCCCCAGGCAGGCCAGGTCCCTGGGCACGGCTGGCCAGGAGAATTCTGGCCCTGAAGCTCCCAGCAGGGGCACTGGGAGGAAGAAGCTCAAAAAACCTCCCCATGTGCAGTGGCTTAAGCCAATCTGTCTGAGACAGCTCCCTGCAGCCCACGGGAAGCCTCTCCAGCACTGGTTACCTGTGTCACGCAGGGCACGTTCATTGGCCTGGACGGCCACTGGGTACCTCCAGGTGTTGGTGATCTTCACAGTGCAGCTTTTACTGTAACCCTGAACAACAGTGCCCATGTCCAGGATGTACTCGGGCAGCTCAACTCTGGAAGGAGGAGTAAGGACAGTCCTTAAACAACAGCATGGCCACACGTTCAAGTAGATGGAAGATTCAAATAAAGTGGACATTTCTGTACTCACTGCTGTAAAAACTCAACTCAAGCCTACAAAACCCAAGGCCTGACCACCTGGGAATGACTTTGGGAAGTTATGGGGAGTGCAGGTCCTAGGTTTCATCAGCTTCCAATGGGACCCGAAAATAAAATTAGTTTTCAATGGACTCTGGTCACAGCTCCTCTGCTACAAAAAGCCCGTGTAGGTAAATCCATTGGACCTCCAGTGGTCTCAGTGAAAACGCTTCTCCTGGTGCACAGCCCAAGCCTGAAATTGCTTCCGAGCCTTGGAATAAGATTTGCACAGGAAAACTTCGCTGCTCACATGAAGGATCTGTTTTGCAAAGCATCTTCTTCCTGAACTGGAGCCTCCCATGCCCAGGCAGCATCATGAAGGAGCAAAGGGAAGGACCAAGTTACCCAGATAAGCCCTGCCAGCCCACCAGCATCAAAGCCACCTTTTGCTTAGGGGGCTCTGTCAGTCAGAACCAAGAGAGCAGCTTGGAGTTCTCTTTCCGAGCTGGTCAGCAGGGACAGTGTCTGTGCTGTCTGGAAGGGCTTGATGGTCTGCACTGGGCCCTCGCAGCTCTAAGAACAGGACCTTGCACCTGTGGGGAGCTGAGCAGCTCCAAAGCTCAGCGCGGCGCTGGGGAAGGGAGGACAGTCAGCTGCTCACGAGCTATTGCTGCCACAACTACTGGGATCAGACCCAATCTGAAGTGCCCACTGTTGCCAGCTCTGCATGCACAAGGAGCTCTCAGGAGCAGGGGACACTGCTGGCTGTTGCCCTCAGGGCACCTGCAGAGAGGGAACAGGAGTCCCTACTCACTTGACAAGCTTCTGAGGAATGCTCTTGTTAAAGACAGTGTCCTCTGGGGGGCGGGAGATGAGGGTTGGCTGCAGCTCCAGAGCATTCTCCTTTATCAGCATCTGCTCCATCTCCATCCTCAGCCAAGTGTTTGCCTGAGGGAAGGGAAGGCAGTGGCTGGTTAGCAAAGGCCCTTCCCAAGGCCCAGGCTTGTATCTAAAGAGGATCCCACCCTGCTCTTGTTGAAAGGGGGAATGGGGTCCTCCTGGCTGCTCAGTGTCACATTCTGCTCTCCTAGCCAGGACCTTCTCTCCAGGGAAATAACTGCAGCATCTGTGCCTTCCCACTCACTGCTAGAAAAGCTGATCTGGCCAGACAGACAAGCTAGCAGCCTTCCAGAGCTTCAAGTATTTGCCTGTCCCCAACCAGTGCCAAAGCAGCTTGGACAAAAGCTGTCTTGAAAAGGGAACCCCGTCCAAGCTGCTGCCTCTTGGAGTTGAGCACTGCCAGCACAGTCCCAGGGCACAGTCAGGCTGCTGCTACTAAGGTCTGTAAACCTGCTAGGGCTTGATTTGGGAGCAACAAACTCCCCAGCAAGGGGAGTAGCCAGGAAGCTTGGTACATCTCCAGGAGAGACCACGACCAGAGGTGGGGCAATGCTGAGCTGATGAATGTTTGTGGTCAGGTGTGGGCAGGGAGGTGCCAAGTGCCAGCAGGGCACTGAGAAGCTGTTGTGGGGTGTTGTGGGGTGCCAGGGCCTCAAGTGACATGGGGAGGGTGGCATGTGCCAAATGGGACTGCAGCTGTTCCTACCACAATGCCAGGGCCCTTCGCGTGTCGCTTCCTGATTTGAGCCTTCCTCCAAACACTTACTTTCTTGTCCTGCTTGTCTTTTTTCAGCTTTTCTTTTGCCTGTTTCAGTAGCCTCTCGTATTTTTCACTTCCTGAAGGAAGAAAACATTCACAAATAGAAGTGTGGGTGCAGTGCCAATGCCATTGAAGCTGAGAAGTCCCACTCCCCCGAATGCTGGTCTCTCCCAGAAACAACCCATCAATGGAAAGCCACCTCTGGAAAGTGGATGCTGCTGCTCCTCTCTGAATCCTCACGTTCACTCCCACCCATCTTCCTCCCCACAGAGGAGCATCTCATCCCCTGCAGTGTCATGCAAATCCATCCCTGCCAAAAGCCCTGCCAGTCTCTCTTACAGCTTTCCCAAGCTTTTCTGTCTAGCCATCTTTCCAGGCCTCTGACGGAAGTGCTGGCAAGAGCTGCAGGATGGTTACTTGGACAAAGCCTACATGTGCTTGTCTGCTCAAGACTCAGGAAGCAACCAGAGGGGTGAGTGTTGGTCTGGCAGCCCTGCAACCTCCAGGCTTGGTGGAGATGGGTGTGAGCTGCCCTCTGGGCATTACAGCCAGGAAAACCCCAGTGGGGACTTTGCTGGGGAGCAGACGGGCAGTGCTCACCTCTGATGCTCCAGGGCAGGTCCAGACAGATCCCAGCAAAGATCGCCTCTCCTTTCAGGGAGATTTCTACCGGTTTCAGGTGACCCACTTGAACCTGGAAAGTCCTGCAGAAGACTCCTGGCACTCCTGGCAGGTAATAGAGCTTCAGCACCTGCTCCTTGCCAGGTTCAATGGAAGCCTGCAAGGGACAGGAGAAGAGGGAGGCAATGCATCAAAGAGGGTGTGATGGAGGAAGGCTCAGGCCACAGACAGGCTGAGAAGATAGTTTCTCTCTGGAAAAAAATGTCAGACCACATCACCTTCTACCTTCCTTGTGCCCAAAAGCCCAAGCCTCCAAGGCGAGGGTGCAGAGGGTGCAGTGTGTCCTTCCCAGGGCTCCTAAGGCTGCACCCCCAGCAGAGCCTGCCCTGTGCTCAGCGTGAGCACGGCTCTGCTGCTAACGGGGTTTGCCCTCTGCCAGCGAGAGCCAGGCTGAACAGGTGAGAGCTCTTTTGCCACCACTGGGGAAGAGGAGCGAAGCGCCCACACTCTCAGCCCGGCCAGCAGCTCCTGCCACCCCTTGTAGGAGACAGGCAGGAAGAAATGGGAAAGCCAATCGGCTTCCTCTTCCCATGGCAAAGAGGGACAAAGACAGGAACACTGCTTCACCTCAAAGACATCCAGGCAGCACTGAGAAGCTGGGACAGTGGTGGGATGCTCCAAATTCCTCTCTTGGCTCTTCCAGCCCTGCTCCTCCCTGGCCCCCTCACTGCCCCACAAAGCTGCTCCAGAGCAGCACAGCTGGGGGGAGGGAAGGACCAGCACAGGGGTTGTGACACTTTCTGGCAGAGCAGCTTCAAGCCCAAGCAAGGAATATGTAAGTGCTGCTTAGTCCTGTCTGATCCCACAGCTGGGGTAAGGTGCCCCTCAGAAGAGCCTCAGTGCCAGCACAGCCACAGAGCTCAGCAGTCGGGGGCCAAGGAGTGACCAAAGTGCTCGTGCCTCCCACCGGTGGCTGCCCTGGGATGGCAGAGCCACTTGCCAGCCAAGGCCACGGGGCAGTCTGTTAGGATGGCACTTGCTTGACCTTCTCTGCCCCCAGCAGCAATTGCTTACAGCCCGGTCTCTTCTTATGGCTGGGTTTGGTTTTATTTGCCCCCCTTTTTTCTCTTTAACCCTCTCCTTGGCCACCTGACACAGGGCTGGGTCAGTCAATTGTGCCACTCACTGTGCTGGGCAGGACCATGAGCACACCAGGCAGAGGCTTGTCTGCAGTGCCAGTGCTGGGGCTCTGCACCACGTAGGTGAATCCGACCTTCCCGTCGTTCCGCAGGGTGACCTCGGCTCTGGTGACTTCGTTAAAGAGCTGGAGAGGACAGAGGAGTGGGAAGTTACAGACACAGGCCTGCTGCTGAGAATCTATTTCCTCTTTCATGGGGTTGAAAGCAGACACACCACAGGAGCAGGGACTGGGAACGAGCTACGGGCACTTGGGAACGTGGGGAACCCCCAGGCACAGGGACCTGCACAGGAACAGAGTTCTGGCAGCACGCAGAGGGGCAGGAACAACCATGGGAGGGCCAATAAGAAATGAAGCAGGGGACACGGGCCCTCTGCACTCTGAGGGGTCACCAACAGCCAGGAGAAACAAAGGAGGTGGCATCGAGGCTTTCCAGAAGAAAAGGCGCCTGCATGCAAATACTGGCAAGCAACACACCAGCCAAAAGGGAGACAGACGGGGCACCAAGACAGGGACAGCAGCTGGAAAGACCTGTGGACTTTTAACTGAGAAGTAGGAAAGTGGGGATTATTCTGGGACATTCTCTCCAACTGCAGTGACTGGAAGCCCAACCGGGTTATTTTGTGGATTAAGCAAGAGCATTAAACAAGAGCATCTCACTGGAGCTCAGGCTTTAGGAGTGGATCAGCAGAGGGATGTCTCAGGGACGTGTCCCTCTGGACATCCCCACTGGGATCCTGCTTGCTCCAGGAGGCAGCATTAGGCACCCTGAAGAGAAGGAATTCCCAACATTCTAGAGGGGGGTGGAGACAGCCATTGCAAAGCAGTCTGGATGCCAGACAAATCCCTCCAAGGTTGTGCTTCCAAGCCCCAGAGCCAACAAAGGAGCTGGGAAGGGGAGGGAGCCCTGGGCCGGGCTGGGCAGCAACCTGCTGGTGATGGTCCCAAGGCAGCAGCTCTGCCAGGAGAAGGGGTGGTACCTGCAGCCCACAGTTGATCTCCTCGATGCTCAGGTGGTAGGTGAGGACCGAAGTCTCTCCCCTCAGCTCCACCTCGTAGGTCGGGCCTCCCTCCACCCGGCACAGCGCTGTGACACGGGCGATGATGTTGGCATGGCCAAAGAAGGTGAAGGGCACCTGCTGGCTCTTGCCCGGCTGCAGCACACCGGACACCGGCTGGACACCAAAAACCTGCAGGAGGGGAGGAGGGATCGAGTCGTTGAGCGTGGAAATGGGTGCAGAAGAGCAGCCGTGGCTTGGAGCAAAGCACAACCGTAGCTGGAGGGGCCTATTCCTCAAACACCAGCCAGAAGCATCCTAATCTCATCCTGCCTCCATGCCACTGACCAGTGGAGGGAGCATGGCCAAAGTCTTCTGCCATACTCACTGCTCAATGCATTAATTAATACCAGACATTAAAGTAAACTGGGATGTCTCCTGGCAGCAAGACATTCTCTCTGCTGCAGAACTTGCCTTTAAAACCGGTTTTTACTGCCTTCAGAAAAGCAGGAGACTCAGAGGTGAGAGCTCTTGGAGCTGAGGGGAAGACTCCAGCCCAGCTCATCTGACTCCTGAGGCTTTTCCCTCTCTCTCTGACTTACAGCTGCTCTCTCAAGGTGCTCACCAAAAGACCCTGAAAAATATCCTGTTGAGCACCTGATGAGGTACCAGGGGAGCAATGCCCTCCATGGGTGCTGCACAGGAAGTTCTGTAGCTCTGGGGGCAACAGACCTGCTTGCCATGCTGAAAACGTGCAAGTGAGAGAGATTCCCACTCACCTCCTCTGCTCTGAAGCCAGGGGGCTTTGCCTCTTCTGACTGCCCAGACTCCTCCGTCTCTGCTGAGCTCTGAGGCCCTGCAGCAGTGGATGGTGGCACCTGGAAGACAAGGCACTTTCCATTCCAGGACACAGCCACCTTGCCAAGTCTCACTCTATAAAAGCCAGCTCTGGGGCTGTCACTGCAATGCTGGCACTTGGGTGAAGGCAGAGACCTGAAAACGGGTGGTCTAGCTGGGTTGGGAAGGGCGTACATGGAGATCAGGATCTGACACGGCTTGCTACAGGAGGGAAACTGGAAACCTTCTCATCATGATGCAGAAAAGCCTCATTTTACATTGTAAGGAAAATAAGCCAAAAAAATCCCAAACTCAGCATAGGTCTGTAGGATCTGAGTGGGCTTCTCCAAGGAAAAGTATCCTATTTCTCCCTCCCCAGACGCCCCATGTCCAGCCACTGGCCCTGCTGCCCAGCCCACTCTCAGGGCACAGAACAGCAGGGCAGCAAAAGGGGAGGTCGGCACGAGCACGGCTTTTTGGTGGCAAGCTGGGAGAGGCAACACAAGTGGCAGGTGCACAAGAAAACCCACCTTTGCTTCCGGGGAGTCTTCTGAATGCAATGATTTTTGGCAAGAGTCCTGCTTTGTTTCCAGGGACTTCTCTGATGATGACTGTTCAGGAGAAATGTCCTCTGTTTCCAGGGAGTCCTCTGAATCTGATGACTCTTCAGAAGAATCATCTTCTGTTTCCACGCAGTTCTCTGAATCTGATGACTGTAGTGAAGAATCTTGCTCTGTTTCCAGGGAGTCCTCCCAATCTGATGACTCTTCAGAAGAATCTTGCACGCAGTTCTTTGATGTCTGTTGGGAACAACGCTGTTCTGTTTCCTGGCAGTGTGCTGACTGTTGGGAAGAGTCCTGCGCTGCTTCCGGGGCTTTGGCTGGCTTCTGCACACTTCCAGGTCTGAAGTATCTCCTTAAATAACGCCCACACTCAACACAGCCGAACCTGGCCATTTGTGGTTGGGGTCTGAATCTAGGTGGGGAAGGTATGAACCTGGAAAACAACATAACCATGATCGCGGACCTGCAGTGGGAGGGAGGGACACCTGCACGAGCAATTCCTCGTCAGGATGCAGCCCCTGGGTGGGTGCAGGTGTGATGAGCTCAGAAAGGGGGTGTCTCAGAAAAGGAGAAGGAAGGGGAAGGTAGCAAGATGTTCAGCATCAGCTCAGGTGCTAACTAGCTCTTTCTGTGACGTAATTTGGGACTTTCTGGGCATCCTCCAGCACTTCCAGGCCAAGGCTGGGAATGCAGAGAAGGTAGCAAGGAGCAGAGAGCAGTTTCTCTGCTCGCAGAGAGGACCCATCCCAAAGCAGAGGGGCCAAAGGGCTGTGAAAGTGCCTCCACCAGCACTGTGGAGGTGGGACTAGGAGCCCTTCACCAAGGTGGTCACTGCCTCACGCCACAGAGGTCTGAGAAAGCAGATTTCCCTACCAGCTTTCCTTCCCAGAGGAAACCAGGAGGGGGACTACAGCAGCACCAAACTCATGGAAAACGCCTATTCCCTGAGCATCCAGCCTGAGCACGGCTGGTCGGTGTTATTTCCACAAGGGAAAGTCAAAAGCAGTTTGTCAGATGCCAGGCAAACAGCTTTGGTCTTTGCAAAGTACAAACAGGACACCAGAGCTTCCAGGAGAGGGCAAAGGGGCACATACCCTGTCAGGTACTCCTTGCTGTTCACCCGGAATGACCAGTGGTAGTGGGCAGGAATTGGGCTGCAGTTGGTCATCTCCAGGGAACGCACTTGTTTTGCGCCATTCGCGATGCAACCGAAGTCCAGTGCTTTGGTCGGGATACGGAGATTCGGGAAGTAGACCTCTCCCCGAACGGTGATCTCTTCCTCATGAGGATGTTCCACCAGCTGGATCTTCATAGTCTTCTCTGCTACCCAGCTGATCGGATCCTTTTCATAGGCTGGGTTAAAGCCGATGGAGAGATGAAGTTCCTGCCCTGCCTCCATCTTCACAGGCTGCAAGGAGACAAGGAGTGTCAGTCACCCACACGATGAAGTCCCAAGGTCTGACAGCACAAAACCGTAAACGCTCCAAGTGTGACCCCAGCACGGCCTTCCCAGTCCACCCTTCAGTTCTTTACAAGGGAGGCTCTGACTGCAAGCACCACACTCCGGTGGGGGATTCTCAGGCTCCTGTTTCTGTGCTCAGCAGCAATACAAGAGGATGGCTGCTGGAGAGCTGGGGTGCTCTCCAGGAGACACCTCTGCTGCATGGCTTGCCCACACCTGGCTGCCTGCTCCCTTCCCCTTGTATCTTAAGAGCCAGGAAGGATCTTTCCAATTCAGATGAGTTTTTGCTTCCTTCAGCAGCTCTGCTGACTCAGTTCACAGTTCAGGCCAGTCCACTGCTGACTCTATGGAATAAACTTCTTGACTCGAGGACCTCCCAACAGAAGGGCACCACCACAGCCCTCCCTCTTCAAAGCCCACTGGCAGGAGGGTCCTTGGCTGCTCACCTGGGCCCCTGCAGGGAGGGGCTGATGGTCTGCATCACAGATTAGGAACGGCTGCTCCAAGTCCAGCAAAAGGTGGAATGGCAGGCAGCAGGTGTTTTTTAAAGATAGAGGCTTGTACTGAAGAGTCAGGACATCATCGGGGTGCTACAGAAACAGGAGACAAGGAAAAACAACCTCAAGGAACCACAGACCTCCTTCCCCTTCCAACGCGTTTCACATTTTTCAACCTCAGAAGTGCATACATCTCTATTTACTCTTTTTCTTTGATTCTAAACCTTCCAGGACATTTTTCCCTAGAGCTGATTCTTTACATGTTTCGAAACCCCAGCCTCCCCTGGGAGACAAGGAAACACTTCCATGAACAGAGGAGGGAATAGGCTCCTGAGAGGAGGCAGCTGCTTGAACAAGATCAAAGGCAGAAAGTGACCCCAGAACGTTTGTCTCCAGTTTTGTCTCCTCTCTTGGGCAGAACAGCACAAGATGATCTTCCCTCACATACAGTCATTTCTCACAGCCTTATTGGCTCCAGCAGCCTCCTAGAAGCAGGGATGCCAGCCAGAAGAGAAAAGCAAGCAGGATTTGGCCCTTCGTGGAGATCCTGCAGCAGCCCAAGGTCAGCTTTGAACATTCCATGAACATGTGGCCAGCCAGAAACCTCAACAGTCCCTCTGCAATGTGTGTCCTGCTGCCTCTGCCACAGGCACATGGTGTCTATAACCTCCAAGCTATGATCAGCCTAAGCTCCTTCTTCTTGTTTGTGCATTGTGGTGAGCTTCTTGCACGGGGCAGAGAAACCAGAGTTTGGGAAACTAGTTCTGGATGTACTGATATCAAACAGCTGCAGCGCCAGAGCACTCCATAAATCAGTGTGGCATCAAGCAGAGCACAAGCAGGCATCAGGGAGAGCTGAAAAGCTGCTCATTACATCCAAACTGCCCGTTCCCAGAATTCGGTGCTTCCGTGGAAGCCTGGTAACCTGAGGAGAGACCCGAAACCACAGAAACTAAAAAATGCAACATCTTTTCCAGACACCTTGTGGGAATGATGATGCAGAAGTTGGGATCCAGAGACTAAAGGGCACCTGCTTTGCCTCGGTGGCATCATCACTGCAGCTGCAGGACGTGTGTGGGTCCTTAGAAGCAGGTGAGGCTTGGGGAAATGCACAGAGCTGTACCATAGAGCTATACCATAGAGCATCCATGCCAACAGCAGAGAAGGCAAAGACACACAGCAGATGACAGGTTTTTCCTCATCAGCCTGAGGAATTCACAGGAATCTCTGGTTTTCCCAGCTTCCCTACTTCACCGTGCGTTGGAGGATCCTCAAAAACCTCCCTTGACAGTGAGCACAGAAACTGGCATTTCTCTCCAGGTGGCCACGGTCCCCCTCAGCAGTGCGGCTGGAGCCACAATTCTACTTTGAGGAAGCTAAAAACCAGTCTCATCTCTAAAAACATCCTCACTTACCTTACAAAGTGCCTCAGGAAGGGTAAAGAGGGCTGTTAACACAAGCACACCCCCCCCCACGAGCTCTCTCGCTGAGCCATGCTGTTAAATGCCAGGATGCAATCCAGAGACTTACCTTCTCCACACGGAAAGTGATTGCCTTGGATGATATTTGCACAGCGGGAGAAATGAACTTGCAGGTGACCTTTGTCTTGATTATCTCTTTCTTTGTTATCTCTGGCTTCACGACTGTCTCACACACAAGCTTCTCCTCCACGTCCTGCATGCAAGAGTCACTTGTCACCAGTGCTGCTGGCAGGGTGTCCAGCAAACGCCCTGCGTTGGCTCCTCACCCCCCATGGGCCACAAAGTTACAGACACTGCCCCCTTTTCTTCCTGTGCTGCTGCAGCCTATTTCTTCTGTGCTCCAATGGCCCTAACACTGCACCCCAATAGCCACAAAAGGCACTCGTGAGACACTCCCTCCCTTCACAGGGCTTCTCTTTTACTCTCTGCTTACTCCAGAGAAACCACTTGGCACTTGCTTAATTCACTTTCTGCTTGGGCTCCTGCTTTAAGCGTAACCTATTTTCTCTGCCCTTCCTTTGTGCCTCAGCAGGTGACACTGGTAACCCCCTGTTTGCCCCCAAGGAGCAATACTTCCTTCAGCCCGTATTTTGGGATCAGCATTGGGGTTTGGTAGCTATGGAATCACAAAAAAGCCTTAGCAACCGATGGTGGCCAGCAAGGAAAGCCACTGGTGCTGCCATGGAAACCTGTAGCCTTAAACACTGTCTTGAAGGCCCTTGCTCATTTGCCCAGGCAAATGTCAAGGGGCTGCAGGAGAAGCCCCAGTGCAGGGGACCTGATGGGGAAGGCTCAGCCCTTGGCAGGGACCTCACCTGGACAGTGCTGGAGAAGCCTTCCAGCACCAGCTCCATAGTCTGGCCTGGCTGCAGATTCATACTCCGTGGCCGCAGCTTAAATACGGGGGTGGTGTGTCTCTGGGAAGCGTTTTTGCCCTTGGTGACACAGAGGGCAGGGAGAGGATGACGCTGTCGAAAGGGGCTGAAACCTTCTGTGCCCCAGTACAGCCGCTGGAACTGACGCCCCTTGTTTGTCACGTTGAACCGGAAAACGCAGGGAACGAGGCTGGAGGAGAAGCAGAGATGGAAAAGGTCATGGGAGCTGCTATTTCCCTGCAGTCAAGTGCTCTTAGTGAGCAATCTGAAGCGTTAATAGCTTGGAGACCATCTTCCCTTCCCGCTCTTAATGTGGACCAGAAACAATGTCTGATGCCCTTCTGATGTCGTTATTGCAAAGAGTAAGAGGTTTACACTGGTAATGTAGTATTTCCACAGCTTCCCTCAGCACAAGAGACTTCCTTCGTCACCATGGGCTTTTTCCCTCACCATCCTGGGCTTCCCTTAATGGATGCAGACTGAAACCATCACTTTGAGAACACTTCACCACCGAGAAGGCCACAAGAAGAGCATCAATGGGATGCCATTGGAATCCATGCAGCGGTGATATTTTCTCTACTTAATCTGTCTCTTTGTCATTCTCTTTCTCTCCCCCTTTCTCTCTTTTTCCCATTTCTTTTTATCTCTCTCTTCCTCACATTTACTGTTAAATAAAAACCCGTACTATTAACTTTGGCACACGGTCTCGCTCGCCCCTTAATTCGGGCAGAGGCGTCTCTCTAATGATTTAAGGAACCTGAGCATAACAACATGTTTCTAAAGGAAGCTCTGGCTTCAGGGAAACAAAGCCAGGGCCTGGAGCACTGTAAAAGATTTAGCCTGAAAGTCTACAGCATAACTGCTCCTTGCTGAGCCAAGAGGAGAGGCAGGAGTTAAGAGATCTCTTACTTGAACTGGGGTTCCAAATTCAGCTCCGGCGCAAACGGTTTGTCAATGGTAATTGTGGTGCCGATGCCCACAGCCTGGATGGGGATGACACTGGTAAGGCTGTTCTCAATGAACAGCTTCATGCTGTCTTCAAATCTCCCTGTGTCACCCAGGTTTGCTGTGACAACCACAGGAACCTCAGCCTTGGCAGGGACCACTCCTTCCCTGGGTTCAATACTCCAGCATTTGCCATCCTGGAAGACAAGGCAAACATGCATTTAGGATGGAAACCATGGACCCTGGTGACTTGTGGGGTGTGAGAAAAGGAACGACTACAGAGAGGAGGATAAAAAGCGTAAAGCCTTCGTTTTCCTAAATCTAAACTACTGAGCAAGAGCAGAGCTTATACAACCTGTATTTTACCCGCCTTGAACCCATTTTAACAGACTTTTAAGTTTTGCCCAACCCAAGGGATGCTCCTCCTCAGGAGAATGTTATTCTCCCCCCAGTCTTTTCTTGGAGTGTATGCCAAGGGAAGCTACTTTCTCTCTTCTGGTTTCCCCACAGCAGAGCTGGGTTTTCACAAAGGCTCAAGGCTGCAGAAAGCCACGACTGCTCCAATCCCACCACAGCAGCCACACAGCTGGAGGATACTGCTGAGAGCCTGAAGACTAACTCTGCAAAACCGCTTGAGCAAAAGCCCAGCACCAAAGTCCTCGCCCCTGAAGGACCAAAGCCCTGGCTTCCCACTGAGCATCAGCTGCCAAGAGGTGCCCCAGAGCCCTTGGCTTTGGAAAAGTCAGCTCTAAATGCTTATAGCAGGGCAGGAAAACAGGAAGCAGAAAGAAAACTGCCCTGTGGGCATGGCCCAGCCTTCCCACTCTGGTCCTCTGCTTTCTCATGGACTTCCCTCTGTGGATGGGGTAAGAAAGCTGCAAGCTGCCCTGGGGAGGGAGGCAAGGCCTTCCACTGGGACAGCTGTACAGACACAGCTCGGCAGGTCCCGGCCTGGGATGAGCATGCAAAAACTATTATCTCCATGCCAGCACCACCCATCCGAGGTGGCTTGCTCTCTGCAGGGGTGGAGAGCAGAACTTCATTGTGGAGTTGAAGAAAGCTGCCCTGGAAATCCCTCACTTGGAGGTTACATTTCCTCCTCAGACACCTGGGAAAGCAGCAAGTGGAAAACTCACTCTCCTCCTCCTTGGCCCAGGAGGCTGAGCCTGGACTCTCCCCCACCGCCTGCTGCTTTATCCACAGACACAACCACGCCCACCGTGTCGGGGCTGGCTTCAACCAGCTCCAGCAGTCCAGCCCACTCAGCACGGAGGAGAACAAACCTCCCCCCAAGGCTATGGAGGCCACAGGCTCCAGAGGTGCACAATCCCTGCAGCTGTGTCTGTGTGCAACAGCCCTGCTGCTCTGAGCCCCAGGAAGGGGAAACTCCTCTCCCCACCCAGAGCTTGAGGCCAGACCTCACACCCTGGTCTCTACCATTAACAGCACTTTGGCACAAAGCAAATGTAGGTGGTATGAGGAAACCACGGGGAAATCCTTGCCCTCTCAGGAGCAAAGGGCCACTGGCTCCTCTTCATCTCAGAGCTCCAAAAACCCAACCTGCACCGCTAAATACCTTCCCCAAAATAAAGGGAGAACTTGTAACCACAATCCAGACTTGCTTCTGCTCCTACAGCTCTGCAAACTGTTTCACTGAAGGTTGTCCCAGCTAAAACCACCTGCAGAGCCAGGCTCCTCTTGCCTCGGATGGAATCTCTTGTCTCCTCTCTCCCACAGGGTGATACAGAAACCTTACATATGAAATCCAAGTCCTGGGCTGCTGCTGACCAGGGAGTTTCCCTGGAAAACAGCCCCACAGACACTTACGATCTCTGCTCTGAAGGCTGCAGGGATGAGATCCTGATTGCACAGCTGGAGAGTTTGGGAAGTCTCCTGTATTGCTTGGATCTCGCCCAAGTTTATCTTATTCACACTTGCGTAGACAAGCGGCGTCTTTCCAGTGCACATGAAACGCATTTGCTGTTCCAGGGAGCAGGTAAGAGAGATTTTAAAAAAACAAACCCACACAACAGGGAAAGTTAAGAAAGCTTAAACAGCTCAATCACACTCAAGTCATTTCTCTAGGGACAGATATGATACTCCAGTTAAAATGCTGGCCTGTTAGGCAAACTTTTGACATCTTCCCTTCCAAATTAAAAAAGATTAAAGTCTGGGAAACTTTCAGAAAAACTGTAAACTGTTGGCCCAAAGGCAAAAGCTTTGCAAGAAATTTGTAGTTAAAAACAGTCTGGCAGTTAAACAGCTGGTTATTCTGGTGGGGAGAAACCCTGCTCTTTAAGGGAAGCAGCCTGATAGTTACAAGCAAGTGTTTTGTTAAAAGTCAGGCTCCCCTGCACAGCCTGCACTGCCTGGCCTTCCTGCTGACTGGTTTACATGCACAACGGCAATGGCCCGGCTTGAGATGTTTGGTGCCACCCAGGGGATTTGACATCATCCTTTCCATCTGCTTGACTCTAAGTTTAAATCCCTGCAACCACTTTTCAAACATCAGCCTTCCTTTCTGACACAGAAAGCTGAAGGTTCCCAGAATCCTCCCTTTGTGTTCAGGGAGATGACATTTTAAAAGTGTTTCCACAGTTACCAGCATTTTCAATGGAAGACTAATTAAATAAAATGATCCTCGATTTCAGCTTAGATGAACCATATGCTGAGATTACTCCCTAGGAGGACTCCGCTCTTCCTCTTTTCCAGCATACACTGCTTATGCCACCACTGCCTTCTGTCCTTGTCCACACCAGCCATATATGACGAGTCCCTGCTTTCCCTGGAAGAATCCCTGTGCACTCCACCCCCCCAGGATGAACTGCACAAAGGCACACGTCTCCCCTCGCACTCACCAGTGGGGATGTCTCCTTCCCGAACACGGCGATATCCACCGGGATGGAAGGAGCACCCACTGCCTGGACTTCAGCTGTAATGGGGATCTCCACCACATTGTGACCCTGGATAATCCCACACGGCTTGGGGCTGGAGTACCACAGAGCAGCGGCCTCTTGGTGTCTCTAGAGGGACGGAATCAAGCGCAACTTCAGAGGGACCTTTGCGGAAACTTTAAACTCCTTCACATCTACCACAATGGCAACTCACACACATTTTCTAAAAATCCCCAGGAAAAAGCTGAAAGGCACAAAAAAAGATGCAAGAATTGTTGGGGCTCAGCATCCTCTGGGGATCCAACAGCTGCTGCATCCACAGACACCCACTCCTGTGCTGGCAGCCTCCTTGCAGCAGCTTTTCACAACCTTCTAAGAGCTCTCACAAGAAAACACCCCAAACACTAGAATATAAACTGCTTCCTGAAGAGGTTCAAATGCTTCCTGAAGTTGATATTCAGGCAGGTTCCTATTTAACTGCTTTCTAAAGTTTACATTCAGGTAGAATCCTGTTCTCAGCACACCTTTAAGTCTGAACAGAAACCAGCAAGGTCTTATGAAAACCCCATTTGTCCCTAATAAACCCCTCAACAGTATTTGAGAGGAGGAGGGGGATGAGATGCCAAACCTGAGGGAGAACTCTGTAGCATCCTGGAAGGGGGCTCGGGTTCACAAGGGTCAGCGTCTTCTGGCAAGGGACCTTTGCAGAGCACGGTCCACAGTCGAGGGTGGAGAAGAGCAAACGCAGCTCAGGAACGACACATCTGGGCAAAGAGATGACCCCGAGGGAATGAGAGATACTGAGAGAACAGAGAGCGTTCACCCCGCAGAGCATGGAATGGAGCATAAGACATTTGTCACTGTCCAACAGATGTTTAATACCCCTCCAGAGATAAATCACCTTTCACGTCTTTCCACTCAAACACGTCTTGTCAAGGAGGGGCAAACCCTGAGACTCAGCACTGCAGAGGCTGCCAAGTGCCCGGGCAGAGCACGGGCCTTGTCCCACAGCAGCCTCAGCCCCTCCTTTGCCCAAGGAGGCTTGCAAGGACTCCCCCAACAGGCCCAGCGAGCCGTGAGCTCTGGGGGAGCCTTCCTATTGAAGGTCAGTGCTCACCAAGGCTCAAGGAACACAAGACTCCAGTGTCTCAGGAAAAACAACTCCCTTCTCTCCCAGGGTGCTGTTGCCCTGCCAGAGAACTCAGCCAGTGTTGAGGGCACGAGCCACCCCCTATAGGGTGTGGGTGATCATCCTCCCAGTTCCTACAGCTCCCTTGCTGCTGCACCCCACAGGTCCCAGGTCTGTCCCCACTGGCACTTGCGTTACAAAACTGCAGCCCAGGCACTGACTGGACAGCTCTGCCTGGGAGAGGGAACGGCACCAGGGAACTGCATCCCTCTTGTCATTAAACTGACACCCAGGGCAGCACCACAGGAGGGAATTTGGCTGCAGCAACAACAACATCTGCATTAAGTCTGAGAACTGAGAATGTTAATGCTCAAAAGAGCCAGAGGGAAGCAGGGAAACCTGAGCCCACCTCCACATCAAGGACTACTTTCCTCTCCCACTCCTGCTGTGAGCCCCTTTCCCACTGCCATGTGCCCTCGTTAACTGAGCCAGACCCCAGCTCTCAGCAGGCTGCTCACTGCGTCCCAAACCAATGCTGCAGTATGGTTGGAACCCAGCACAAGCCGACCTCTTGCAGGAAGAAGGACAGGAGGAGCTTGGGAATTTTTTACACCTCAAGCAGCAAAAGCCAGGCCAATAAATAATGTCATTCCTGTTCCCCAGAGAAAAAGGCCCAGAGCCATGCCTGGCTGTGAGCAGGGGTGCTTCTCACCACGGGCTGCTTTCCAAGCACTGCTCTTCTCCTACCTAGCTGGGCAGAACCAGCTTCTTAAGCAAGCCTTCTCCTGGAGCTGCAGCCAGCAAACCCCGAGCAAGGCACTGTGCTGGTGGTGGGTGCACGGGGAAGGACGAGCAGCTGCAAGGAGAGCACTGGTACCTGGCTTTGAGGCACAGAGCCAACACCTCCTTGCCAAAACCATCCACGTCCAGCACCATATCACAGTCGTACTGTCCCACGTCATTGGAACACAGCGTGACCTGGTGGAAGAGAAGAGCAGCAAATACTTCCCTTCTCCCAAAAGCTCATTACCCACGTGTGGTCTCCTCCGGTTCTTGTTTCGCAGTAAGGCAAGGGAGGATTTTGCCTTAATTCTTCTGCTGGCCCATGCCTAGAGCACAGTCTCTGGGAGTAACATAAGCCTTCTGGCAAGACTGAATTTGTTAAACACACCTTGCAGCTGTCAGGGCAGAGGTGGCTAAATTAAAGCATTATACATAATCATGTATAATGAGACTAAAGCTCTACTCACTACTGCCTTCAAATTAGGGGCCCATTTTTTCATTTGACTACAATAACATAAATGCAAAGGAAATGTGTTGACTTGGACAGAATGAGTTCAGCTTTTCAGCAGGAAGCTGAGGGCAAGGTGTGCTCCTGCAGATGCTGGGCAGTTCATGGCTGCCGAGTTTTTTCTTTCCTCACTGGGGATCCCTGCAGTGACCTCAACTCATTCTGCTCCCCAGGAGAGGAGAAACGAGACTGGGAAGAAAAGCAAACTGCTTTATACAGTGGCATCTCTCTAACAGCCACCTTCTGTTCTCATCCTTCCTCTGCCTGTTTTCAGTCAAAGAAGTCACGCTCAAAACCAACACACGAATGACTTCTGTTGACCATGTGATCTCAGCTTATGGTTTTGGAGACAAAATGGTGCTCCTTCAGGAACATTCCACGTAACCCAGCTCCCACACCACTGCAGATCCCTCCCTTGCACATGCTGAGAGCCGACAGCACTAAAGCCCTCCCACAGCCCAGTGAGGCTTCAGCCCCACCTACTGACCCATGTGTGGCCAGACTCCTCCCATACCCTGATCTCCTGGGATCCCTGGGAAGGGATGGTCCCTGTGCTGGGTGTTATGGTGAACTCCATTGGCTTCTCCTGACATGGAGCCAGTGTGCCTTTTTCCCAGGAGGGGTGAGCGTTGTCTTTCACTTGATCAGAGCTCCTAAGGCTGGGCTGTCCCTGGCCGTCCCCAGGGATGCGAAGGTGGAAGGTGATGGGCACCACGGAGGTGCTGATCAGGTGGCACGACAAGGTCTGAGGAAAGCCTAGGAAAATGACACAAATGGCCATGTAGGCACCAAGCACCTCGTGACTTCTACCAGGTGTGAATATCCTGGTAGGATGAAACTATGCTCTGAGACTTGCTTCCCGTAACAGAAAGCCAGGGATACAGCCACACCTGGTGGGGATGTCCTGCAGAGCCAGGACACCAGCCCACAGCCTGCTCTGCAGTGGACAGGTGGCTTGGCTGGCCAGCTCTGTGGGGAGGAGACATCTCCCAGGACCTGCTTACCAAGCATCACTTGAACCCAGATGGGGAGGAAAACCAACTGCAGGCACAGCAGGGAGCTTCTCTGTGCCCATCAACAGGGACACTGCCCAGCTCCAGCAGTGACTCCAGCAGGGAGCCTCCACAGAGGCATCCTGGGTGCAGAATGATAATGGCCCTTCAGTCAATCCACAACTGATTTCACATTTAAACTGTAGATCATCTCAGTAGAAAGCCTTTTGTGAGCCTGAGATGGAGAACCAGAACCTGCATTTCAATGGTGACACTCTGGATGTTCAGCCAAAAGCTCTGTCAGCAGAGCTGGGCTTCTGCTGGGGAAGAAGAAGAAGAAGCCCACGGCTCTGAGGACACAGGTGCCTGAGACAGAGCTATTGCTGGGGCATCTGACCTGCTCAGGGATAACGAGGTGCCCTCACACCACTAATTAACATCCCACACTAAAGGTACGTGGCTTAAGCTCCCTTCTCCTGCAGTCCCATCCCCTGGGCCCTCCTGGGACGAGGACTTTTACAGTCGTTTTGCTGGCAAGGACTGGGAGATTGGAGCAGAAGAGACTACGAGGGACACCAGAAAATACTGACTTTCTATTCCTTTGGTCCTTTCGGATCTCACGATGGCAAAATGCCACCAGCAGCCCTGGAGTTAACACCCTGCAGGCTGCCATGGAAGGGCACGAGTGACAGATGCTCTTCTGTTCAAGTGCTCCGTTTTGGCAAGGCACAGATCTCTCCTGCTGCCTCCAAGCCCAGGGAACACTCACCAAAGGAGACGTCATTGAAGTCAAGGCCACCTGTGCTGAAATGCAGGCTCAGTCCGGTGACGTGGCCCCTGCGAGGACGAGGACAGAGGAGACAACGGCTTGGTTAAAGGGAACTGCAAAGCCTTTGGCCGTCCTTCCGGCTCAGGTGGGTCAAAGCTGGTGTCAGAGCCCCGTGGGCGTCGAACCAGCCCCGCACCCTGTGCTCAGCACGGCGTCCGTGGGCACAGGAGGCAGCCAACAGCTGCTGATGGGGCTCAGGGCACCACGGCAGGCAGGGCATGCCCCCGAGGTGCTGCTGGCCCCATGGAGGACCCTGTACACACACCCAGAGATGGCTCTGTGCCCTTGCCTTAGGAGAAAGACCGACTCACTACTTTTCTCTTGCAAAGTAATAACCTTTTTGTTATGTTTTATCCACTTCCCTGATGTTCTTGGTAAAATGGACTGCAGATTCCTTTTGTTTCTTTACTACCTTGATTCAGTGCCTGTTGTAGACGACGGGATAAAGACACTTTTAGACCACAAAATTGATCAATAGCTTATCCGACTTTATTGTTGCAGGCTCTGTGCTTATAAAGGTTAATAATTAGGCTCATACATATTACAAAAGCTAAGCTCATCATTGGCTTCTAATTACCTAAGTTATATTTGCGCAAATGCTGATTCTTTAACCTTCTTATGGTTACTTGTTTGCTATTTGCTCAGCTTTCCCATCCGCTATACACTATTCTTCTGTCACGTACCCAGTTTCTCAAACACAGTGACCTTCTGATAGTTTTCTCTTACCGTGGGACCAGAGCTATAGCATCTCTCTCATGTCCCCTTTCTATTAGCCATGTTTCAGCAATACTTTCCACAAGTGCCTCCCAACAGCAGCCCAGACACAGCCACCTCCAAAGCTCCAGAGCTCCCAGCATCAGCTTTCCTGCCTCCACCACATTACCCCACCAGCCCGTGGTTCAGACTAGCTGGGACAAGCCCTCGTGCTGCTGTGGTGCTGAGGAGAGAGCTTTGCCTCTCCTTCATCACCCCTTTTCCCCATTGCTGGGCGAGGATTATCTTTTGCAATGGCACCAGCCCATGGGAGGATGCCCAAGTCCTTGTGACAGTCCCTGCTGCTGCAGAGCTCCCCATCTCCCACCCCAGTCCCTTCCTGCTGTGGAAAGGAGGTCCCAGAGCACTCCCTGCACAGGAGCCGGGAGCACAGCCTGTGCCTGTGCCTGGGCACGAGGGATGATGTGAGGCTGCTGCTGCCCCTTTGGCACAGATCATTAACAGAGGACTTTAGAACCACTTCTTCTGGCTGCAGAGTCACCCAGGCTGGCCCATCTCCAAAGCCCTGGGGGCCTTGCTGGGCGCTCAGAGGGGACATCCCAGACCAGCAGCTGCCCAAAACTAATGCCTTCCCACTGCCTGCCACGGCCAAGGCGGAGGGAGGTCCCTGCAGGAAGGAGTCACTCCAGCTCCTGGGCACCTGCACTGGGCAGAAGGCATCCCCACACTGAGGGGATGCCAACATCAGAGCCAAGACTAAGACCTCGGGCAACACCTTTTTTCTCTGCTCCACCACCAAATGAGGCAGGTGAGAGATGATTACCCAGAGACAGCTACAGACGTGCCCACCAAGCTCCCAGAGCCCTCCTCACCTGATAGTCAAGGTCACAGGCTTAGGGCATTCAGCCACATTGAAATGGAATTCTTCCTTGAACTCCCCCAGGGTGGTGGAACTGAAGGAGATCTGGATAGGCTGGAGCCCACTGGGTGGAATGATGCCCTGCTGGGGCCGAAAGGTGAAGCAGGAGCCACGGGCTGTGGTTGGAGGGATGAGCTCAAAGGGAGCATCAATAGCTCCTTTGTTAACCAGCATTGCCTGCAGCAGCAAGAAAGCAAAATGGAAATACATGAGCAAACTTCCTTTCTTACAGAAGGCTGAGTTGTTTCTAAGAAACGATTAACCCCTGGAAAGGCAGAAGATGCCATGTGCTGCTACGTGGCAGAAGCCAAAAAAGTACAACAGGACAAGTTCTGCCTTTGGGTTTTCATGCAAAGCAGCGATAACTTCACATAAGCAGAGTCACTCCTGGGTTATCCCAGGGACACGGAGCGGGTCACTCCTGGCCAGCATCGCCAAGTTCATTCAGACCTGGCCTGAGGAGCAACGTGGGGCAGTTGCAGCCACGTAATGAACCCCCACAGAGCTGCTGCTGCTGCTCCAGGGGTGCCCGGCCCTGCCAAGGGCAGCACACATTCAGCTTCCATGGCAGCCAACCAGTTTACTGCGTGCAGAAGACACCTCAGAACAGTGCTATCACCAGCTTCAGAAGCTCTCCCCAGCTCTGCTAGGGTAGATCATTTGGGTTCTTGTATTTTTCCTTTAATCTGATAGTTTCTTAGACCTTGCTCAGCCAGACATGTCAAGAAAGGATGAATGTGAGGTGCACAGCAGCTCCACCTATTCTAAAGAGTTGCTCTCTCCCATCTCTACACAGCCATGGGGAAACCCTGCCATTGCCATGGACTTATCCATCTGCTTTGGAATTCTTTCCCCAGTTGTTAGCCTGGCAAAACCTGTCAGAACAGTTGAGGCAGAAGCAGAGGGATGTCCCTCATTTTGTAGCTTTGCAGCTGCTCTTGCAAATATTCCCATATTCAACCTCTGCCTTGAAACTTGAAAACTACTCTCCTCTCGTGTGTTACCTGTGTTACAAATTGCACTTGGGGATCCCATGCTGAGCTGAGGTTTACCTGCAGCGTAGCTGCTTAGGACAGCACTAACAGTATCATCTACTCATTCACCTTTTCTCATCTAATGAAATTACTATATTGATAGTGAGAAACACTAAAGTATCAGCATCAAAAAAGAAGAGAGAGCACAATCTTTTAGTAAGAAAACAACTCAGTGTGTCCTTTCCTGCCATGGCAAAGCTTTTGGAAGTGTCTGGCATGATGCAGTGCCTCATTTTCCACCTTTTTCAGTTGCTCTCTCTTGCAGTGGACTCAAGCTCAAACGCAGCCAGTTTGTTCCAGCTGCTCTTGAACAGCCCGAGCACAAAGGTGCCTTGAGTCTGAGGCTGGAACAGAAGCCTCTGAACACTTCAGCTTTTTGACCCAGTGTTGCTTTCATGTGTTGAGGGGTTGTTTTGCAGAAAGCATCCCAGCTGATCTCCAAGGGCGGTTGTCAAAAAGCAGGAATTGGGCCTTCAGACAACACCTTTCAGGCCCCGGAAAAGGATCCAGATTCTGTGAAACCCCCCAGATTTGACTAGTATGTCAAATATTCCCTGCTCACAACTGCCCAAGTTGCCAGAAATTCCACAGGTCCACCAGGCTCCCCTCTGCCCCAGGAGCCATCAGGATCCACCCCAGCCCCTGCTGCTCACCTCGTAGCTGTAGGCTTCTCCAACCAAAACTTTCCCCATGTCCAGTTCCTCAGAGCTGAGTTGGAGGCAGGGCTCGAGGCCTTCCCCTGTGAGGTGCAGGGGCAGCCTGGTCTCACGGCCTGGGGAGAGATTTCCATTTCAGTAGAGTAATTCTTACTCTCTTATCCTGCTTTTCCCAGGCTGCCTCAGTGCTAGTCCCTGACTCTGAGATGGGTGAGACCAGCTCCTTCCAATTTCTAACCCACCCCTCGGGCTTGTTTCCCGTTTAGCCACCAGTTTGCACCCTGAAAAAGCGATGCCAAGTTTAAAACATGATTTCTGCAGTGATAGGACATTTAGGTTAGATATACAAAAGAAATTCTTCCCTGGGAGGGTGGTGAGAGCCTAGCACAGGTTGCCCAGGGAGGTTGTGGCTGCCCTGTCCCTGGCAGTGTTCAAGGTCAGGTTGGACGGGGCTCTGAGCAACCTGGGCTAGTGGAAGGTGTCCCTGCCCATGGCAGGGGGGTTGGGGATTAGGTGATCTTTAAGGGCCATTCCAACCCCTTATCATTCTATGATTCTGTGATTTCCTTCTCACACACTTGGAGGAGCTTTGAAACCCATTCAGTGAAGGGACAAAGCTTGCAAAGAGTTGGACATTGCTGCCTGGCTTCCAACTAAATTGGGGGGCAGTGGCCCAACAGCACAGGGCTTTGTTGCCAAAGCCTTCAGCTTCTGCTGCTTTCTGACACTCAGCATCTTGTTGACAGAATGTCCCCGTGCTTCGGTGACTGGCTTGGAACACGATTCTCATCTGACCATGTCAACAAACAGAGATGCACAGTTTCACACATCACAAGGAATGCCTTGGGAGCAACTTTTTAAATCCATGCTTTCCTTCCACAGCTCTAACGACAGCAGTTGGTGGGCAAGAAGAGAGTTTGTTAGCGTGAGCCCTGAGTAATTACTGTAGATGGCATTTGTTGAGTTATCCCTGCACAATTACTGTCTAAATAAAAAGCTGTTTCATGACATTTGTATCTATCAGCTTGGAGCAGGAAGGAAGGCAACAGGGTGGCTGGGTCAGGGGATTGCAGCACCCTCCAGAACAGGAGCCTGGCTGCTGGAGGACCATGGGCCTCCCACCTCTTTCTCGTAGATGGGCAAACCCAGAATATTCCCTGGATGGAAACCTGGCAGCCATCTCCCACTTTAAGGTGAAAAACACTAAGCAGCACCATGCAGAGACAGAGAGGAAGGACAGGGGAACCTGAACCACGCTGTGCTCTGTGAGTGTTCCCTCCCCTGTGCGGGCACAGCAAAGCCACCACCTCGGGGTGGGGGGTAATGATAACTGCTCCCAGAAAAGGACTTGACAGAACTCCTGGAAGCTGAGCACAGCAAGCCCAGTGGCCACCACCTGGACACACTTCAGCCTGAGAGCCAGAAGGTGACAATTCCCACACAGGGAGAGAAGCAGGTGCTGGCCAGGGGTGGTCCTTCTGCAGACAGCCTGGGCTCAGCAGGGCTCAGCCACCTCTGGTCTGCTGTTGTCTGGGCAGTGGGAGGTGATCCGGGCTCAGGGAGCACATTTCTACCTCAGCTCCTACTGCCTGATGATGGATCCATGGAATGAGGAGCCATCCTGGAGGTCAGTGCTCTAGAGGGGCTTAGTGCCTGTGCCCTAAAGCTGTTCTGCTGTGTAGCTCTTTGGCCTTTGAGGAAATACTGGCAAACCCGTGGCATGAGAGCTTATCCATGCACTGCTTGGATTGTTCTGGGAACAGTGTCCTGAGCCCTGGCCTTGCATGGGAGACCACCAGGAAGCTGCAGGGACAGTGGACATGAGCCAGCACTGCCCTGATGACCTTGGACCCTTCCCAGCACTTCCACGGGAGCTCAGTGGGCTGGAAGAGTATTTGCACCTCCCCCTCACTGTGTGTGGGTAAGAGAAAGAGGAGAAGGAGCCGTACCTGAGATGGAACAGTAGGCCACTTTTCTGTAGACTTGGGCTTCTCGGGGTTTAAAGAACACCTTGATTTCAGCTGAACAATGTGGCCCAACCTCTCCCTCCTAAAGCACAAAGAGACAGCAAACCATTTACCTTCCAGTATCACATTTCTTCTTTTCAATCTGTAAGCCTTTACTTAGAGCAAGGAGTGAACAACACTCCCAAACCAGCTCAACACAACCGCAGGATGCTCTTAATGCTCAGCTGATCAGCCCCCACGCTACAATATTCCTACTGCTCTGACACAAGCGCTTGCTCACATCGTGCTGCTGTCAGCTACAGTGGTGTGAAACTGCTCTTGTGCTGACACTGGTGGCTCTTGGCCTTAGATGGGCTATAGGAGTCACCAAGAAGAGAACCTGATCCCCTTCCTTGGAAAGAAAAAACTTAGTTTCACTTTTTTTAAAAGAAAGCAGAGGCTGGGATTATTGTAGGGTTTACTCCAAGACAAGGAAGGATTTTGCACTGCGCAGACAGCAGGGATTCCTCATCTCACGCTGTGCCAATACTCATAATCAGGGCTCTGGCTGATGGAAGGACATGGGGGTTTGCTTGCAGAAACAGAAAAAGATTTTCTGTCCCTGTGTGCAATAGAACTCAAAAAGTCCATTTCCAAGTCTTGTGTCCAGGCTCCCAGATGACACTGGAAGGGAGACTCAGACATGCTGTAAGTCCTGGTTCCAGGGAGGGCTTGGCATTTCCATGACCTTGGGCTGAATTTGGCCTCCTTTTCGCTTCAGGTCAGTCTGTGAACTGACAGTGCTCCAACACCCTCTGGGAAGCCCCACACATCACGTGTAAGCTGTGCCCCTTCCTACAGTAACCGACCCCTCTGGACACTGCAAGGACACGCACCAAGCTCCCTTGACGTCGAGCCCTTGCAGCAGAGCTCAGCTTTAGGCAGGTTCCTGCTGCCTGCCAGGAGCCCACAGGGTAGCAATGCTTTTTGCAACATGCTCTCCAGCCTGGCCAGAAACCCCATGTCTTCTCTCAGGGCACATCGAGACAGCTGAGGTGGGGATCTGCCGAGTGACCTCATTCAGGGAGGGGGAGGAGGAGGAGGTTCTCAGCTATTACTTACCAAGGGCTCAATGGTGAAAACATCATCTGAGAAGAGCATGGGGTCTGCTTCAATCTTTGCTGTCTCCTTCTCCAACTCGCGGTCGTAAAGGTCCAGCTCCTCACAGCCCTTCATCACAAGAGCCTTTGCTATCTCCTGGGGTGGCCAAGACAGATTGTGACACAGCCTGCAGCCACAGGGAGAAACAAAGGCAGCAGGTCATTTAATAAGCCGCTGATTTGCAGAGCTGAGTGTAAGTGCAGAAGCAGCAAAGCGCTCGGGGAGGAGCAGCAGCAGCTCCCCAGCAAGGGGCTGAGCTCAAGCCACGGGCTCCCAAAGGGCTCAGAGGATCACTCGTCGTTCACTCGCAGGGCAGGTGCTTTTACTCCACACTTACAAGCTCAGGAGAGGTTTTAAAAGCCAGCAGCCCTCAAGAGAACCTCCTGGCTCAGAGCCACTGCCAAAACTGAGGGAGAACCCACCAGTGACCTCAACTGACTCTTCCTACCACAGAGCTGCTTGGGGGAGACAGATAAAGATCAAGGAGCCCCCCCCACTGCCTGCAGGGCTTCCCTGGCAAGGGGAGAAGAAGCTGGCTCTCAGCTGCAGGTTACCAGCATCACTCTTGGCTTCTTCCCTTCTGGACCTGCAGGGATAAGCTAACCCTGTGTGCCCTGTTCCCTACACTGTCTTCCACCAGAGCATCCCAGAGCACTTTCAAAGCCAACTGATGAATTCAGGCATGGCACCTCTTCAGTGACATTAAAGGTTTTGTAGGCATGAAAACAGAGGCCCTGAGAGGGGGACATCTAGCCTTGAACCACCTTCTTGTTTTCCTCCTTTTGGCCTTCTCTGCAGACCTTTGGCACAGTTAATTGCTCCGTTACTTGGTAGCTGCAGCAGAAATCATTCCAGTGTTTTAAGATCACAACCAAGAGATGAGAAAGGAACAGCTGCTTCCCAGCTGGCAGATCACTGTTCCCCCCTCAGACTCCAGTCCCCTGGCCGTGAAGAACCTGCAGGTGGCAACTGGGGGGACAAGTAGAAGGTTCCATAGGGAGCAAATTGAGGCAGTGGAGTATAAACAGGACAGCACCCTCACCCAGCCAAATTCAAACACAGTTATAAAGGAAGTACAGTCATGGATATTACCAGCTGCACACAGACAGAGCCTTGGACAAACACTGTCACCGGCACCAAAAATACTGGCTATGGCTGGCTCCCTGCCCCAAAAATATTGGCTATGGCTGGCTCCCTCAATGTGCAGTGCATTCAGAAATGTTTCTCTGTGGCTGACCTGTAGTGCTGGGCATGAGGAGGGCATCCAGCCACTAAGATGGCAACACTCTGCTCAACCTCCATCAACAGACAGTAATTTCCCCATGACGTGCCAGAAGGCCCTGATGCTTTGCACCCCCACCTTCCACTGCCTTGTGTTATATAACAAGGGAATACCTGCCCGAGTGCAAGAAGCAGGGTCACAAATAGGACGATTGCTTTAGGGGGCACTCGCCTCGGAGGACCCCCAGAATGGACCCCTGACAACCACTGAACTAAGACCTGAGCACGTGGAATGGCAAAACCACTGCCACTCTCGCCTCCCATGCTAATGAGGGACTGTACAGAAGTAACTCACATAAATGGCCAGGAGACAGAGAAGTTAACTAAAAAAATAAACCTTTACTCTAATTAAAGGGAGAGTTCACTGAACAGACCTCAGGGAGGTCTCTCAACTCAGTGGAGGTTGCAGCTTCTTTTATCCCCTTTGCCCGGAGCACAGGTCCCTCCCCATTTCTCCATTGGCTGGGATACTCTGGAGTTACAGGCTGCCCAGCAGGCCTACTGTGTGTCCCCCATTATGTGCTGATTCGGTGGCTCTGGAGGTCGCTGACGTTGTTCAAGGTGGAGGCCACAGCACTTCAAAAGGGAGGACAGGGCCACATGATCCTCCCGTGCTGCTGGTTGGTCCCCCTGTCTCTGGGCAAACTGCCCCTCTCCGGAGCTGAGAACTGAACAACTTTGTCGCTTCTTACTGCGAGCTGTGACTGCCCTGCAAACTCTGCAGGAACACCTACTTGTTCCTAACACCCTAAAGCACTCAAAAGCACAAGCACCCCCTGAGGCCATAGGTTAGTTTTACCCTTGGGCAGTGCATGTCACTGCATCTTTCAGACCAACCTGATCTTCTGCTGATACTCCTCTGCCTCAGTAGCAAAAGCCTTCCACTGGAATCGGGCTGTGATGTTACTTCTGTTGTGGATGGCCGTGGTTCTGTGGCTTGACAGTGTGAGGTAAGTCTTGTCAAGTTCCAGAGAGTACTTGTCCAGCCCGATGTTGAAGTCCTTAGCTTTTCCAAGAAGTCTGGTGTGGGTATCCTCACCTGGAATAAAGCAAAGAGGAGTCTTTGCTCAGCTCCCTTGCTGATGGAATTACAAGGAGCAGAGCAAACCACAGGTAACAGAAGAAAGTGTCCAGCTTTTAGCTGGATAAGTAATTCCATGGATCAGTGCATTTATCAAATCCCAACAGCTCCGTGGGTACAGTGTGAGGATGTCCTGGACACCACCTTAAGCACCTGATTTCTGGGTGGGTTTGTGGAGATTTGTCCCCAGGTGACAGTATTTACAGTGAGATTTGTCAGGTGTGCTCAGGTGACCCACTCAGATCCCAGGCAATTCTGCATCAAATTCATTCAGGTGACTCTAAGGAGCCCCACTCAGTCACAGCCCAGGGGCTCCTGAAGGCACCCCACGGGGCTCCTGCCTCTCCCAATCCCGCTCCCTGTCCAAACCCATGGCCACATCAGTCTAGAAATATTTGATATCATTCTGATCTCAAACACCAAGCTGAAACATTTGAACTGAAAGAAAGAAGGGCAGAGAGACAGACTAAAAGTACAGAGCAGCTTTTATACGAAGACTGAATGGGGTTCCTCAACCCAGAAATCAAATGGGAGACAGGTGGGAGAGGTTTGGAGAGCATGAATGGCCTGGGAAATGGGAATAAGGGACAATTTGTCACGATTTGTCATCCAACAGGAACCCGAGGGCCTGAAAATGTTCTTAGACAGAAATTACATGTATATGTAGAGGACAAGATAGAAAAAGGGTCTGTGGCAAGACAACAGAGAAGCAGCTGAGGGGACAGAGGTGAGCAAAAGACACATGACATTGGAGAGAGTTGGATGGAAAGCTCACATGTCACAGACAGCACTGTCCAGGAACACAACTTCAGCCCTGCACATCCACACTGCAGTGGAGAATCAAGGTTCCTCCTTCCTCCACTCAGCAACTCCCAGCAAAACAGGATTCCAAAAATCTCATCCCTGTTTGAGGGCTTTATCCACTTTATCAACCCCCTAAACACTAACTAGTTTGCACTTTTCGTTGCGGTGAAGCTGGGACGGGGCGGTGCTGCTGGAGGGGGAATTCAGGTGGCTGGGACAGTGGGGAGTGCTGGTAGAGGACTGGGGTGGGGGTGCAGGATGGAGGACACCATGCTGGCACCAGGGTCCCCCCAGGGATGGACCAGCACACAGCAACACAGCACATCCAGGACAGGGGCAGACTCAGCCTTGGCCCCTTCTCTGCTCACTTGTGAGCACTGAAACACACGGAGGCTTTGAAAGGAACAGTTCTACAAGTAGTTTGCAGAGCAAGTCTAACGTTATTCTGCTTAGAAAGGGCTCTGCTGTTGGGAAGGACGCGGGGTGAGTGCACCGTGCAGTGCCCAGCACTCACCTCTGTCGCAGTGCACTGCCAGGGATGTGCAATGGTGCCCGGTCTGCAGCGGGTGATATTCCACTGTCACTTGCTTGGCTTCACCAACATCGAGGGTTCCCGTGGCTGGGCTGGCAGTGAAAGGGCTGCAAGACCAAGAGAGACATCAGGACTCTTGGGGGAGGTTTGGGGACGATACTTGCAGTCTAGTTCACTTCAGCTGACTTGTGCAAGGGAGGAGCAAAGCAACCACAGTCAGCAGAAGACAGACAGAACACACAGCATCAGAAACAGCTACTGACTCTCTTTGGAGGAGATGCAGCCCTCAGAAAATCCTGTTGGATGAAATGAACTCATCTCCCCCATATTCTGCATGGAGGCTCAAGGGTCCAACTGCCAGCAATCCCAGCAGAGAATGGTTTGGGAAGAGCACAGAGAGGGTTAAGAGCTATTTGCATGACACTGACTGCCTGGGGAATGTCTCTTTTCTGGTTCCCTATAAACCTCAAATGGCAGGGCACTCCCTGTCCTGTGAGATTACAGCCTAGGAATCAAGAGGGAGAATAAAATCTTCCTTGAAGACCAGAGAATAATGAGTTTAATTTGCAGTGTGGTTGTTTGGGGTTGTTTTTCCCCTTGTAAACATCCTGGTTTAGCCTAAGAAAGGGCACCTTTTATCACATTTCAATGAAAGCTGCTGGAAGAAAAGGAGCAATGAAAACTCTGAAGGAGTGCAACTGCAAATTGGAGCAATACAGTGACCTGGACACAATACCCAAAAGGAGGGTCCTGCTTACAGCCTGAAGGATTCAATCCCATCTAAATGAAGTGCCATTAAGAGCAGCACATCAAGGGAGCTGAACAGGAGGTTTCTGTGTATTCCCCAGCCATGCAGTCTGGGATTCTGGAGTGTCATCCAGGCTGGTAACTGTTTGCTTGGCCCACCAGAGAAACAAGGGAAATCATTAGGCAAATGTGTTGGTGCAGTTTGGATTTAACAGGAGCAATTTGGCTTTGTCACCAGGTAAACAGCTCTTGCCTGACAGACACAAAAATCAGTGCTTTAGTGCTTTGGGATAGCTCAGGTGAAAGGAACAGTTTTGCCCAGGGACTGCTGGGCTTTGTGCTCTTCCTACAGCCCCACTGAGAAAACAAAAGTTTAGTGCCTGCTGATGGTTAATTTGTCACCTTAAAAACATTTCCTGGGGATTCTGATAATGATTAGAGAATGCAACACAAAAAAAAAAAATAAATAAGAAGAACAACTGGAGCCCTGTGCAAACTGAACTTTGTTCCTGTCAGTGGTGACAGCTGATGGAATTGCTGCCCTTTCTGCTCCTTATAAGGAGCTACTGCTGCAATTAGGGGCCTGACCTGGTCCCATTACCACCAGTGAGAACATCACTACTGGCTAATGGAGAAGGCTTGGGCCAGCAATGTTTTTGTGCTGGGCCTGAGACTTTGGAGAGAGAGGAGGAAAGACAAGCCCCACCAGCCCCAGAGCTGGATTACTCTCTGTGCTCCTGCATCTGCCCTGATGGGGATGCCAGGACTGCTGCAGGGCTCTGCTGGGGCTCGGGCGTTCATTGCCTGGGGTGGGAAAGGCACGGAATTTTTTTCCTGTTCTTTTGCCAGAAATTTTGCCAGAACAGAGAAGTTACTAGTTAAGGGGCAACTCATGAGTGCTACCTTCCCTCCCATTCCCTTCCTACTCCTGCCCCATGTCGATATACTCCTGCCCTCAGATGGCTGGATGGGGAATAAGACTCCTGGTGCTGACTTCAGGGGATGCCTGAGAAAGAAGGCATCTTCCTATTTTCAATTTCTCAGAAGAAGATCCAGCCAAGTTCAGGACTAAGAACCCAAGTGCAAATCAGCCCCTGCATCTCCTACATTTTCACATATTCCCCAAATTGCTCCTGTTTCTTATACACCTGTGCATATGCCTATGGGCAGATGGTAGAGCAACAGGCATGAGAGGACCTTGAAGAAAGTTCCCAAGGAAGAATGAATGATAGTTTGACAAAAATTTAACACAGAGCAAAATAAATGGAAAACAAAGCAGAAACACGGGAACTTCAGAGTATTTTAAAAGAAATCAGAATGAAATCTGCTTGAAAATTTAGACTGGCTTTCAAAGGTTCCTCATGAAACAGAAGAGATGACTGATGCCCTCAGCTGACAAGGGAAATCAGATCAGCTTTGACTAACAGGAACAGCATGGGCTGTTCACAACACAGCTCACGTTGGGCATCTGATGAGGGGCCCCCTGATGTGCCACACGCTCGAGGTCTCCTGGAGAATGGGTTTATTGGCTGACAGTGGGAGGCAGCCATTTCAGAAGGTGATGGTGCTCAGGAGGGTGCAGACCAACCACTAACGTGTTCCAGCAGTCCCCAGGAAATCTGGGAGAGACAAAGCTCAGGGCTTGCATCCTGCTTAAAACACTAGAAGCAACAGCAGACCCCACACGTCCTGCCCCTTTCCAGCTGTGGCTGCAGTGCAGCAGCTCGGATGCTCTGGTTCCTTTGGGATACTCTTTCCCAACTCTGCCATCACCCAAAGGTGTTTTGCACTAAGACAGATGAGCTGCTTTACCTCTCAGTGCTGAGGCTGTAACAGGCTTCCAGGTTCCCGATGTTGTGAACCAGCAGAGTCTTCTGGGTGCTGTGGTTGACTGGACACGGCGAGAAGTCCAGCTGGTCAGGGAAGTCCAAGACTGGGCAGGCACCAATGGCTCGGATTGGCACAGAGACCTTTTCCCTTTCACTGCTGCAGACAAGCTGGTGGAAATGATCCTGCAGGAAAAGTAACTGGGACAGCATTGAGGGCATTGAGTGCCATCCTCATGGCAGAAGAAAAAGGGCTGTTTTCTATGACCCTTTGTGGGCATGAATTTACCTCTCCCACCCCCAAAATGACCACTAATTCATACTAATAAAGGCTGGAGAACAGAGCATATGAAAAAGCATCAGTTTTGCTCCATTCCATTGGGAAAGAATAAAGCTCTCTGGATCATCTTTTTCTTCCTCTGGTATTTTCCATATTTAAATCCCTTCCACTGAACCTAGAGATGGCTAAACCTCAACACCCCTCCCTGTCATTTCCCTGCTGTTCCATCTGCCTCTTCCCCTGTGAACGTTCAAGAACAGGCACGGAGGGAAAGCACAGCCCTCTAGGCCCAGCTGCAGGGCCTGGCAGCACCACGCTGTGCCAAGGTGTGACCAGCTCCAGGCTGCCTGCCCCCAGCCCAGAGCCGACCTCACAGCACGGGCTGGGCTATAACCAGTGTGCAACAAACGCCCTGGCTTTAGAGAGAACGTTCCTCCAAACTCACCTTGCTCCCCTCAGGGGTGAAAAGGATGTTTATAGTGCAAAATGAGCCCGGTGGGATCTGATGGCACACACCATTGGGGCCGACCAACTTGAAATAAGGTGAGCTGTCCATGGTGACCTTCACCAGCTGAGTAACCTGCAGGAAAGACACAAAATGGTGATTTTGCCACTTGTGCAAACAGGAGGAGACCTGGGTGTGCCCTGGTGACAGCCTTCCTTGACCACTTTCCCAAAAGACTTTTAGCTCTGGAGGTTCAAACACAGGCTACACAAGGGTGAACTTGGATCCCTCTGCCTGGGCAAAGCAGCTCGGCCAGAGGCAGTAGGGCAGTGCCTGCTGGGAAGGAAGGTCAGGCACCAGCAGTATGGAGATAGAACACCTGAACCAAGTCATCCTCATTTCAACAAGCCCAGAGAATCTGCCTGCTTCTGCCTGCACACAGCCACGCAGCCCTGTTCCAGAGGGAGAATGTGCTACCTGAAGGCAAACCAGCACATTGTCCTGGGGGCTCTTGCTGCCTGGTGACTGTGGCCAGGCAGCTGCCAGTGCAGGCAAGCCAGACTGCTGGGCATTCCTGCAGCCACCCTGCTGCCAGTTTCTGCCCTCAGGGGAACACAGGCACAGGGACAGCAAACAGGCATTTGCTAGCACAGGGGTATCAACCCCTGAGCACCAAATCCCATCTCACAACCTCTAAACCAGGTGATTTGGACTCCCTGCTGTCTATTCCCACCAGCTTGCTCTTGGCACAAGAGTCATTTGAGAAACTGTTTCCTTGACTGAAATTCAAAAGGTCTCAGTTTTCCTCTTTACAGGGCAACACAATTGCTGACATTTTTCAACTTCTTCCTTCTCAGCTTTCGTGGGCAATTGCAAAACAATCACACTTTGTCCAAGTGAAGGTGGAAACCCTCAAGAGCACATTGCTCTGGATGTCAAGTCTCTGAAAAACACATAAACTGAACACTAAAACCAAACCTGACACCCAAGAAACGTTTTTAAAAGCTTTCCACGTAACACACAAACTCATCCGTTTCCTTATCCTGTACCTCATAGTTAAGTAACTACCTTTGCTTCCCGTAGTGCCCCCCCTGTGCCCGGGGCCGCACCGGGGACCCAAACCCCGCCGCTGCCCCCTCGGTGCTGCATCGGGGCCGGGCCGTGCGGCCCCCGCGGGTGCTGCAGGGCCGGGACGGCAGCGCCGCAGCCGCCGAGGGGCACCGGGGCTCCCCCGGTCCCGCCGCTCCCCCTCACCCCCCACGGGCAGGACACGGCCGGGGGTCCCCGAGAGTTCCCGCGGGTCCCCTCAGCGAGCGGCGAGGGCTGGGAGGGGGGGCCGGCAGAGGCAGCGCCCCCTTCCCCTCCCGGCTCCGAGGACATTTTGGTTTCCCTCCCAACGACAAAGGACAAGGAGGAGCGCGGCACTTACCTGGCGAACAGCAGCCCGCTGGCCGGCACCGGGGGCCCCGAGGACGGGGCGCTGCTCCGATGCTCGCCCTTCCCGCGGCCAAGGGCGGCCCCGCGCCCGCCCGGCGAGGGAGCGGCGCGGGCAGCGCTCGCAGCCCCGGCGCCATTGCTGCCCGCCCGTCCCAGCCCCTCTCGGCAGCCCCGCTCGCCCCCAGAGTGCCGGGCCCGACTCGGCCCTCGAGCGCTGCACCCGGGGCGCCGGCCGGGTGTCCCCCGAGCGAGCGGCGGGCAGCGCGCCCGGGAGCCGTGCGGGAGCTGCCGCTGCTCCCCGGCCATCTTGTGCCGTGCGTGTGAGGGAGCCGCCGCCATCTCGGCTCCTCCCTCCCCGCCCCCCGCACAACATGGCCGCCCGCTCGCTCCTCCCGTTGGCCTCGGAAACGGGATGAATTCCCTCCATCGAACAGGATGAATCGCAGCTACTCCAGAAGGAAAAGAAATATATATATTGCTGTATAAGAGTTGACAAAATGATGCATTATTCAGCAAATTGCCACATGCAGGGAAGAGAAACTGTACCTTTTCTTCTGAAATCTTACAAACGTGTATTTTTTTAATTTTTATAGACAGTCTGACAAAGCCCTGAATCCCCCCGTTGTAATGCACCATCTATATAAAAGACCCCTTATATTACTAACTCAGAACAAACTTCTTCATATTTGTCAATACTCGTTAGATATGGGGTCCAATCAATTTTTGCTGTAGTGATTCACCCCACGCTTGGATTAGAATGTCACCTGAACAGAAATAGCTCCTGAGTCAGGCTCATGTTTCCTATGAGCTTTTCTATTTTCTGCCTGCAGTCAATTCACTACAAACTGGCTCCTGACAGAGCTTTACCCAGCTGGGAGAGCTCATCAGCCCAGGGACTAGAGCAGCTCTGGACATGCTGGCCTCCTAAACTCCAGAATCAGCAGCTTTAAGCGTTGCAGGAAAGAGATTTACATGCTGAAACAAATACTCTCTCTCTCTGACCAAGCCATTAACAGTGACAATCTTGTCTCAGCTTAAAACCATTCACAGCTCACTTTTTTTTTAATATTTAGTCACAGATTAGTGTTAGAGGGTGAGCTGGGAGAAAACGTGAGCAGTCCAAGAAAACACTGTTTAATAATAATAATGCCTCTAAAAAGAAGCTATCACCTCTCTCTACAAATGTGTCTTGGATTAAGGTCTAGAAACATTGAATTTAATGACAAAAGCTGAGATTTTGATCTCTCCTTGTTACTCCAAACACATGGGTCTTAAGTTACACACCTGTGCCTTTAATTCAGCACTGAGTAATTACATTTAGGTTGGTGGAATCACTCCAGGTTTTTCTTGGTGTGCCTAAACTGAATGTTGTCCTAAGGATTTGGAAGCATATGAAGTGAATTTAGGAATGAACATGTATGTCAGTAGTTGCAAAATGCAACTGAAACGAACTGTCCCAGTCTGTAGAAGGAAAGCAGAGGTCTAAATTTCAAGAGTAAAAGCAAGCACGTAGCTTTGCACATGTAGGTCTAATTGCATCAGCATTCCCTGTATTTTCCCCAACACTTCTTCTTCTTTCCTATTTTTAATAATAATGGCAAAAGGAATAATATAAATTTAGGTTGTCTTGGGTACTTTACCTTTTACTCATCTCCTTCAGGAAAACTTTAAAACCTTTCCATAAAACAGAATATTGGCTATGAAGAGACCAAATGGGAGACTCAAGTGGAAGGAAATAGGTCAAAATAAAATGCATTTAACTGAGAAACTGTCTCAAAATTTTCTTGTAATGTGCCACATGCTACTGGTACTGCACAGTGCATTTGAATACTCTGACGTAGTGTGGGAGACAAAGGAAACCAGAGAACACTTTGGGGTGCAAAAATGCATGGGAGACATAAGTTTCTGTGTGTAGGAGCAGTCAAATGCTTGAATAATTCCGAATCAGAACATGCACAGAAATGAAACACTGTAACTTTAATAAATGGCCTTTTTTTTTTCTTAAACTCCAGTTATTAGGATATTGTGCTCCAGGCAGCACATCAGGTGCTGATAATGAACATTCAGAGACAGGACTTTTGCTGCACGAATGAAAAGTGTTCTGCTCAAAAGATTAATAAAGGACTATCTTCTTGTGTATACATATATATACACACACTGAACAGAATGAAAATTGGAACCAAAAATGAACCTGAAGTCGACTCAGCTCTCGGGGCTTTCAGAGCAGCTTTCCCCACTGCAAGTCTGTTCTTACCCCGGTGCCCCCGCTGAGGGGCTGCAGCCAGACAGGCCCCAATGCCCTGCGTGTGGGGCACAGGCAGGAGGAGCTGCAGCCCCAAGTCTCTCTTCATTCCACTTGCAGGCAATAACAGCCCAGGCCTGCTGAGACAGTTCCCAGGTTTTGGTGCTGTGATGGGTTGGGAGAGAAGGCCAAGGAGACCCAGGAGAGAAAGAGCAGGAGAGAGGTGTCCTCAGCAGGAAGGAGCTTCTGGGACCTGTGGAGCTGCTCTAGGGGATGAACAAACTGGGTGAACTTTTGTGGGTGAGGGTGAGAGGAGAGAGTGGTTTGGGTGACATTGTGGAGTGAGACAAAGAGCCCATTCCAGTTGGCTTTGATAACCCTGGAATTCACTGGAAAGGCAGCACGAGAGGATGCAAAGAGCCCCAGAGGTTTGTGCAGGGTCTTGGTGAAGACAGCCCTTGGGCCACAGGCCTTTAGAGCACAGCTGGCAGGCTGGTGGACAACAGGGAGGCTCATCTGCATCTGCTTCTGTCCAAGGGGAACCAAGAGGTTCCCATAGTAACTGACTGTAGTGATGGGACTGTAGGATGGTTGCCATGGTAACTGACCACAGCAATGGGACTGTACGATGG